TCATGTTCGAGTTGTACCTCTCCTTGTTTCATCCACTAATTGTCAATTAGTAAACTTGTGGTGAGAGAGGATCAATATGAGAGGTGATGAATATGGAGAGGACATTTTAATTCACTGCCAGAGGGAAAACTGATAATGAATTGACATTGAGGGAAACTTCAACATATTGATGAATAGATAGATCAAAGTTTAGAGTTAACGACTACATGAAGTTTGAAGAAACAAAGAAACACCAGATATCTGCGTTAGACTGAAATTAGTAAGCCTGTGTAATTACAGTTCAGGTAATAACTATGAATGACAATTAGACTTGTGAGAGTCTGTGAAGCTGAAAGATAATACAGTGCATATCAATTAAAGACCCCAAAGATTCTCCTGTGATTATTTACACTCTGACTCAGTGAGATCAAATTTAAAAAGTCTGCAGAGAGTAAAGTGCAAACTGAACAACTTTCTGGGGAAAACGTGGTCTTGTTAGGAGAGATGGTACCCATCCCCCTTTAGATGGAGCAGCTCTCATTTGTAGAAGTCTGACCAAATTTATCCAGAGTTGGGACCAGGAAGCAGAGTCTTATACACCATCTCTGCAGCGTCCTTCCTCCTGTTATGATCCAGAGCTGCATCCCTGCAGAAACTATGACTGTTCACAAAAAAACAATTCCAAATGAAATTAAATAACAATATAGCATCCTCAACTGCACCAAAGATAAAGCACTTAAATGTGGATCAGTACACATAAGGTCCCTGTTAGTAAAGGATTTAATAACTGATCAACACATCAGTTTATTCTGACTGAAGGAAACCTGGTTACAGCGGGATGAATACGTCAGTTTAAAGGAATCAACACACCCGAGTCGTCCTGTCAGAATTCTCAAGACAGGATGAACGAGCAGCAGCAGCAATCTTCAACTTATGAAGCACAGCATGTCTTTTGTCCTGTCTCCTTCCCCGTCAACCCCAACCAGTCACGGCAGATGGCCCCGCCCCTCCCTGAGCCTGGTTCTGCTGGTTTTTTCCTGTTAAAAGGGAGTTTTTCCTTCCCACTGTCAAGTGCGTACTCATAGGAGGTCGTGTGATTGTTGGGGTTTTTCTGTATTACTGTCTCTACATAACAATATTGTGATTTGGTGCTATATAAATAAAATAAAATTGAACTGAAATGGAACTGATTGAATTAACCATCGATGGACAACAGATAACTGAAAAAGCAGTTTATTGTTATCTGTTGTCCAGCTGGCACTTAGAGTTTTGATTTGATTTTTGTGACTGATTTAGTGTTCGGAAAAAATAATTCTAATGGGTGATTTTAAGATAACATACGATAAGATTAATTATTATTGTAGGCTCAAGCACTGGAAAATTTGGTATATATAAACATAAGCAGTCATACTATAAAAATGAAAGATTGAAGAAAATATCCTTTATTTTCGTCCGTGAAGGTTCTCAGTCATCCAGGTCATCGTAGTTTGAAAGAGGAGTGAAAGAAGCATCTATGTCCACTGTGAGCGACCATCTTTGAACAGAGGCGGGGTTTACGACACCAACTCTCTGCCATCTATAATCCAGTTTTGAGATCCTTCCCAGACGCAATTCACATACACAACTCTACTTAAAGAGATCTTAGGGATGTAAAGGGAAATAAACTGACTTTCCAGCAGCACTCTACGATCTATTGAAAAGAAGGATTGTTACAACAAAGAAATAATCGACCAAACAAACATTTCTTTACTTTTTATGTTAAGTTTAGATGTTAGAATGTTATTAATTGCATCATAATGTCTGAAAGAAATGTTAAATGTCAAAGAAAGTTTCTAATGAGCTGCAGGCTGAAGTGAGACGTGTACTGTATTTACACATACTCTCTGTTTTTATTCCGTCAGACTGTCCCCTGTGAGCCGTACGGGCTCTGAACTATTGTGCAGACCAGTTTTTGTGCAGACAGACTGCTGCCCCTCAGGACACACGCACACACACATGCAAGACTGATGAAAGACGGAGACACTTTACCAAAGAATTAGACGGGGAAAAGTCTTGGGTAGTATTTGTGAGATTTTATGTGTTTATTCATATAAACTGACATTTATTCATACATGTGCACACACAAATGAATATTTAGACAGCAAAATAATTAAAAGCATGTTTGGTTTTGTTGAACATAATGCCAGTTATCACCTTTACATGCACACCAGTTTACCATCTTTTTGTTTTAGACTAAAACACACAACACAAAAACCTGCAGACAGCCTGATTATAATATAATGAACTAAATAACAGTTTATTGACATTTCCAATGCTTAATAAGTGTCTAAACATTACATCGATCAACAGATATCTCAAATATCACAATCGGGGGCCAATGGGAAGACATCAATTAAGTGAAGGTGACCAGATTACTTACTACAGCCCACAGTTTGCTAGTACAGCATTA